GGAGGGGGGAGGGAGGAAGAAGAGGGAGGGATCTGGTTAGCCTTACCTATCAATTTAATGTAATCTAGAAATATCTGGGAAGAGAATCTCAACTGATGAATTGTCTAGATCAGACTGGATTGTGGATGTCTGTGAGGGATTGTCTTGACTGTTAACTGATGTAGGAGGTCTCGGGCTACTGTGGGTAGCACCAAATCCTAGGACCATACCCTAAGCTGTATATGAATGCCAGCGGAGCAAAAGCCTTCCTGCCAGGGAGCCAGCAGGATCCTTTGTGCTTCCTGCTGTTATGAAGTAAATGGTGAAAGGTAATGAATGCTGTATGGGATACCAAGCAGGTCTGTCTGCAAGTTCCTGCTTTAATACTACATTGTGACCTGCAATTCTGTGTAAAATGTGACCTTTCCTGCCCAAAGTTATTTTTGGTCAGGGTATCTGTCACAGCAACAGAAATGAAACTAAAAAAGTGTATGATGTATGTGTATATGGTATATACATGTATTGTGATGTATATATGTGTGTGCATATTCATGTATGTGAGTATAGATCTGTGCATGCCAAGACACATATGTGAAAGTCAGTCTCTGCCTTCCACCCTGTTTGATGCAGGGCCTCTCCTTTGTTGTTAATTGTTGCACATACCAAGCTGACCCGTCCACAGGTCTCAGGGCATTCTCTTGTCTCCACCCCCCATCTTGTTGTAGAAACACAGAGCCCAGCTTTCACATGGGTTCTGGGGATTCAAACTCAGATTCTCACACTTGTTTAGCAAGCACTTTACTTGTTTAGCAAGCACTTTACATGTTGAGCCATCTTCCCAGACTCCTGACAGCATTTCCACATCTCCTTCTCGAGAATACTGAGGATTGGGTCAAGCAGTGGTGGCGCACGCCTTTAATCCAAGCACTTGGGAGGCAGAGCCAGTGAGCCTCTGAGTTCAAGGCAAGTCTGGTCTACAGAGTGAGTCCCCAGGCAGCCAGGATAACACAGAGAAACCCTGTCTCAAAAAAAGAAGGAAAGAATAAAAGGAAGGAAGGGAGAGAGGGAGCGAGGGAAGAAAGGAGGAAGGGAGGGAGGAAGGAAAGAAGAAAGAACAAGAAAGAAAGAAAGAAAGAAAGAAAGAAAGAAAGAAAGAAAGAAAGAAAGAAAGAAAGAAAGGAAGGAAGGAAGGAAGAGAAAGAAAAGGAAAAAAAGGAGAAAAATATTGAGGAGTGAACTAATGTGAAAATATTAACAACACCTAGAGCATAGTAAGATTTGCTGTCTCTATTTGTTGTTGTTTTAATTTTGTAAGTTGGCATATAAAATAAAGAGTTTCATTGTGGCCTTTCCATACATAAATATCAATATATTTTGTTCTTCTTCAGTTTGTTCTATTTTTATAGCAGAAATGAACAAAAAAAACCACTTCCTCATCTTTCTTCTCTCTTAGAACGGGAAAAAGAAAGAACACCTGATCTCAGCTGCAGTAGAACCAAGCAGCCGCGCTGACATCTACAGCTGGCTGATCTCGACTGCATCACTCCGATTTTAAAACACCCACTTCATGGCATTTCTGCATTCCTAAAATCAGAATTTCATCTAAGAAACCAATGCGCAATTTAATATTGTCGGGCTTTCCTTCTAGAAAAGTCTTATTAAAATGAAGATGTGTCTGATAATTGGTTGTGCCCCCGGATTGAGAAAATAATTATATGCTGTTGCCATAGCAGGCGCGACCACAGTTTTGAGACAGGAATAGCTAAGCTGCTAGCAGTTCAGGGTGTGGTGGGATTTTTTTTTTCTTTCTTTTTTTTTCTTTCTTTCTTTCTTTTTTTTTTTTTTTTTTTTTTTTGCATTGCAGCAAATCCACCACAATGATCCTAACCTTTAAGAGGTCTGGAAGTATCTCCAGGCACCTGCAGCCTCAGATACAAGGAAGTCGGAATGCTCTGGCCTCAATTTGCCAGCTCTATCCCCTCAATACTGAGCTTCAGGACTTTAGCATCCAGGCACATATAAACGCTGTTCACGCACGCATGCACATGCACAACCCCCACTCTGACTCTCCTCCTGGTTACTTCTGGGAGTCTTCGCTGCTCATGGTTAACCCTTCCAGTGTCTCAGTTCTCTCCTTAGGCAGATAAACACCCTGTAGTTAGCCACTGAAGAGAAGGATGCCTGCCAGCATTCGGAACCCTGCCCTAATAGAACCCGGCCTCCTGGTACTCGAGAGCTGCATAGTCTGGAGATAATCTTCCCTTCCCGCTAATGAGACGTGCAATGGAAAACAAGCCACTAGCCCCATTGAATACAGCATGGTCTCTGCCTCTGCTGGAAAGGCTTGCAACGCAGGCAGATGTAGGTAACAGAGGGTCATGAGAACCCAGTGACAAACTCAATCCTGTCCAGCCCCTGCTCCCTTCTGAAGGGTCCTCTGAATTCCAGGTCATAAGGAGAGAAACATGCCAAGCTCATTTTCCCTTGGCAGGGACAGACAACCTATATGTACTACATGTAAAGAACCAAGTCTTTTCTGACTCAGAGGCCAGCTTTGTCTACATTCTTACATCCCCCTTCGGGCTCATTTTCCACAATGCTCTCCTTTCCCAGTACATACAGAGGAATCTCTGGTCCAAACGTCTGGATAGGAAGGCTCTCTAGTAGAGGGGATTGTTTTGCATTTATATTTAGGAATTCTTATTGATTAAATAGATAGGTTTCTATACATAGTAGAAAATTTTTCTTTAAAGTTTCATTTACTTTTTACATTTGGAGAGACTTCTATAAATCCATCACTCTTAAGAGGTAAATAATTTACTAAATGTAGGTCATCAACAGCTTCGGCTTTGTTACAAGCAAAGGATAGAAAAATCACCATTTCCTGAACTGATTCTAAATAGATTCAAAAAGCTTTCATTAGTTTCTGATGAGGAGTTTTGTGTCTTTTTATATCACACAGATTATTTCACTGTTTGCTACTTTTACACCTTAAAAGGATAGCTTTTAAAAACAACTGATTAGGAATTATATTAATGAAGGAATCAATTAGGAATTAAATTAAATGAAGTTTAGTTTGGTAGATGTATATCGAAATATAAATGTTTCTGGATATAGTTAAACAAAAGCCTAATAAACTAGACCGTTCCACTGTGCCACTTACTGATCTCGGTTTATGCAGGAGGTGTGAACGCCGCCGGCTAGGGGCCCTCCTTTGTTTGCCGTGCCTGGATCTGGGATTTGGAAACAAGTGTTCGAAAAGGGCCAACCCAGTTTTCCTAGGAGAGAATAAAAATTATTGCATAAAATAGAATCAAAGCTAACAAAGAATTCGTGTTTTTAATCGAAGAGGAGGGAAACATAAATACAAGAAAATGGGCAGTGAGGTCAGTGGTCAAAACAATCCAAGGAGGAAAAACACAGGTGGAAATCCCGACCTGGTAATTTGAAATATCAATTCTGAATGATCAATGTATGGTCCATGTCAACTAGTTTAATCCAGGGACTTCTCACTTTGAAAACCTTTCATTATCAGCTGTGGATGAGCAGAGTGCTGTTAGAGACTGGAAGTAGTTTTGAAACCGCTAGAGTTTAAACCAGGTAAAGGAGGAATAGTCTATCCAGGAACAAAGCGCTGTTTAGGGACGTGTTGCTGTATTTTTCAAAACTTCATACATATAGCCAAATCCCTCCAGTCTTCATACTCTCAACAACAACAACAAAAAAAAAAACAATTATCCTTTTATAAACCAGGGAAGCACACCTTCCTAGTAAAATAATAATAATTAAATAATAATTATTATTATAAGAATTACGAGGTGGGGTAAAAGGCTTATTAAATATAAACCCGAGAGGGCTAACGTTGGCTAAGATGTAGACATATAGACATGGGCACAGCAAATTCCTTAAGTGTGTGGAGGGATGAATTATGTTCCACAATGTCATGCTCGCAAAGGTGAGCAGACTGTCCAACAAGATCATCAGCTCTATGACTTGATCAAGGGTATTTCCTGGCAACAGGCAAGCAGACAAGGAGCTACGGGATACTTGACACATGCCTTCCCTGGATTAGTGTTGATTCCTCTGCCCGTGAATTACAAACTCTGGGTGAACTGAGGGAAGAAGCGAGCTACCCTCTCAAGACTCCGTCTAGTTGACTCTGGTTTGCTGGTAGGACTAGCTCCCACAACCGGCAACCGTTAAAAATAGCCAGACTTGTTTTCAGAAACATGAACAGATGCAGTATGGAAAAGAAAACACAACCACAGTATTAAAAATCCATGCTGTCCATCGCAAACGTTTTATCCCTAAATTCTCAAGGTACAATAGTCTTTGCTTGGGGGGGCTGGAGAGATGGCTCAGTGGTTAAGAGCATTGCCTGCTCTTCCAAAGGTCCTGAGTTCAATTCCCAGCAACCACATGGTGGCTCACAGCCATCTGTAATGAGGTCTGGTGCCCTCTTCTGGCCTTCAGGCATACACACAGACAGAATATTGTATACATAATAAATAAATAAATAAATAAATAAATAATAATAATAAAAAGTCTTTGTTTTCATTGAGCTTAATTCTAAAGCAAAGCAAAACCTAAGCCAACCCCACTATTCCAGGCTTACTGTTCCCATCCACTTATGGCTGCCCAGACTGAACACTGCCTTGCAGTCCCCTGGCACTCCTGATACTTCACTGAGATTGTATTACCCACTACTGAACACCCGGCCTATGTCACTACTACTAGAGGAAAAGAGATTTCTCTCAATAATAATCTGAGCTCTGCCTACCTCACAAGGTCCTTGTGATGTAGAAACAAGCCCCTGAAATACCTCCACAGAGCATTCCGTAATTGAGAGAGGTGACGAATGACTGGCAGCCCTTTGGGCCGGAAGTCCCACCTCTGCAACTTCCACCTCCCGCACATCCAACCCCCACCAACAGGAAGTGGATCCCCACCGGAAGTGTCCACTCCTCGCAAGGATGTAGACTCACTAGCCAGCCCGCCCAATGAGTTTTACTGCCCAAGATATGGAGCCGGCTCACCTAGTGTCCTGTCCCACTGGTGAGAATTCTGAGCCTGCAGACCTAGACTGCAACTCCACCAGCCCCATCTATTTGTCCCCAAACCAAGGACAGGACTCTCTCTACCAAGAACTTGACCTGGATTCCCTGGATGAAGATGTTTCCCTGTCTGTTCCCGAGGCCATGACAGAGACGTCTGTATCCACCTCTGAATCCCACCCAGCTTCAGAACAAATGGAGCTCCAATCTGAGCTCACTAAACTGGAAGAAGAGATCCTCGCATTACGCAATGTGCTGGCAGCCAAAGAGAAGCGGTGTGGGGAACTCAGGAGGAAGTTGGGCTGCATGGCCTTGATGGGACTGAGGCAGAATCTGTCCAAGAGCTGGCATGACGTCCAGGCTTTTAATACCTGCATGAAGCAGAAGACTTCAACTGCCCTGTCCTCTGTGGGCTCTGCCATCTGCCGGAAGCTTGAAGACATGAAGAATTCGTCTGCTTTCAGGTCTCTTGAAGGGCTGATGGGGACAGTCAAGTCAAGAGTTGCAGGTGGCAGAGAGCTTGGCAATGGCCTCCTTTCTTCACCAGCGAGTGGCAGTGATCCACACTCAGTTCCGGGGAGTGGGTGTGAAACTGTTCCAGGACTTGGAGATCAACTGCTTTCTGTCCTGAAGCCAGAGTGAGCCCTTTGTTAAGCCTTGCGTGGCTGCCAAAGCGGCCCAGAAGCCCTCTTCCTTCGTCACACTTGCCAAACAAAAGCCAGCAAGCAACCAGCGATGGTAAAGCTATTATAATTCCGGATGAGGGCACAGTTCAGTTTCGATGGCAGGCATGCCCATTTGTGAATAGATATTTGCTGCTCTTCAGTGAGAGAGAAGCCCACGTTTTACAGTGGTGATTGACACGAGTTTCTAGATGAAATGCATCCGTTAGCTTTTCTGAGGGTACTTTTAACGGGCAGGAAAATGGGTCCAGAGGAGTCGTAGACCAGATCCCAAACTCTTTGGACTATTAGCCCGTTAGAAGGCCAGAGAGATTTGTATTTGGGGTTGGGGAAAGGTGTGAAATAACCTGGCTATATAGTCTTCCCATTTCCTTCAAGCACCGCTTGACCTACAACGTTTATTTTATTACAGTGCTGGCAATGCAGTCCCGCGCTTTACAATGCTGTACAATTTCTCTACCCCCGAACTGCATCCCTGGTTTCACAGCTTTTGTTTTTAAAATACTGTTAAGAAAATTGTCCATCTTAAGTCCCCCAGAAAAGTGGAAAAAAAAAAACAGTAGCCCCTATACATTTTATAAATTTTATTTTTTCAAAGTGGATAATTCAGCAAATCAAATTAGCTTTGATTCAGGCAATTACTATTTTGGACTCAAAGTGAAAATGCAAATTTGCATTGCGTGCATTTTGCTCTCTTTGTATATTAAAGTTGGGGTTTGACGTTTGACCCTTGTGGCAGCATGTCTCCACCACAAGTCACATCTTATTCTGCAGCAATTGCAAATTAGTAATCACCTTTAAAGCTAAGGGACAGCAGGGACACAATATAACCAGATTTAAGAAAGCTAAGCCTCCCCAACCTCCATTTTAAACCTTTTGAAAAGACTGTCAGCCCCCTGTAATGCTGACTGTTATGCCTTTGAATAGGCCTAACTGAAGGCAGATCACTATTCTGCTTGACTCTCAACTTGCTCTTGGTTTTAACTTCAACTCAGAAGGAAGAAGGAGCCAGTCCTCCCAAGGTCGCAGTTCCATAGGAACCTGGGGAAACTTGGTCTGCGTTTGTTCAAGCTTTCTAATATCTGATTTTCACAGGAACTACATTTTGGTTTTGGTTTATGTTTGGGTTTTGTTTCCTGTTTTCCCCCTTTCAAAACACCCATTCCAGTGTCTTCCTTCTTTTCTCCCACTGCATTGAAATAGGAGTTTGTGCTGCCTTGATTGGGGCCCTCTGCTGTTTGCTTGAGTCCATTTCATTAACCCTTCCTTGCCTACAAGCTGGCCCTCCCGTCCAAGCACCCTATCCGTTTTGCTGTTTCTTGAGTGTTTCTTTTGCATCCCTTTTGTTCTCTAAAGTGAAACTAAATACTGCTGTCAGTGCAGAAGCTCTGGGTAAAACGGTGAGGCCATTGATAAATCCCAGCCCTTCACAAAGTCCCAAAGGCCATATTTTGCTTGGATTAAAATAAGATGTACAAGTCTTTTGCTTGTTTGTTTCTTGGTTTATGATAGTTATCGACTGAGATAGTTTTCTAGGCTGGAGAACAAAAGACAAATCAACAAGAAAGAGTGAAAAATAAGCCGATGGGCAGCAACCTACAAGTCAGACAGGCTCGCGTTGTGGACAGTCCCATTGGTACCAGGGGCCACACCTAAAATACATTCTCCCTTATTAAATAACTCATAAGAATGAGAGAACATTTTTCAATAACTTTTTTTTTTTTTTTTTTTTTTGGTTTTTCGAGACAGGGTTTCTCTGTGGTTTTGGAGCCTGTCCTGGAACTAGCTCTTGTAGACCAGGCTGGTCTCGAACTCACAGAGATCCTCTGCCTCCTGCCTCTGCCTTCCAAGTGCTGGGATTAAAGGCGTGCGCCACCACCGCCTGGCTTCAATAATTTTTTGAGATGGGGGTCTCACTATATAATAGCCCAGGCTGTCCTCAAACTTTTGATCCTCCTGCCTCAGACTTCTGAGTACCGGGACTACAGTACTCATGTTTATGTTCCACTATGTCTGAATATCTTCAATAAATTCCCAATTCCGTGAGACCAGTAAAGCACAGTTCTGATTTTGTTGATCAGTGATTATCCTACCATGTCTAAAGTAAATAGTCAATACATTCTCATTAAATTAATGCAAGATTATCACATATTTTAGATCAAATCCTGGATCCAAGAGATTATTAGCAATATAAACTGGCACAGGAACCTCCTGATTGTAAACAAAAATAATGTTTGTCCAAAGCATTTTAGGTACTCAAAGATGAACAGGCCTTCCTGTGTGTAAGGAGCGGTACCTGGCCATGAAGGCACAGAGATTATGTAGATGTGGTCCACGTTCTGTAGAAACCCTCAGATTGCTGGATCAATTGTGATTGTAGTGTGGTAGGTGCCTAAACAGCTGTGTGCCACAGACAAAGTCCTCTGGAAGGTTGTGTTCAATTCTGTCTTGGTCAGCAAAGACTAGAGTCAGCCATGGTGGCCAGTGTACCTGTGGGTCTAAGGTAGGGGATTAAGAGGTTGAAGCCAGCCTGAACTGTACAGGGAAACCTTGTCTGGGGGGAAAATAAACTTCACAGAAGCATAAAATCTTAAAAAGAGTAGAAGTTTGCCAGATAGACACAAGTAGAGCATTCATATGGTGCGCAGAGAACTGAGCCATGAAGGACATACTCCAGGAAATACCTGGAAGTCACTGAAGCCAGAAATGGAAGGGCATGGTGAGTGATGGGTACGGAGAAAAGCAGGCCCAAAGCATCAGTGAGTAGCCCTCTGCAGTTCTGCAGGCAGTGGTACCTAACCCTGGGGGAAATGAGGACATACTGGAGCACTTCAGTTCAAAGGCGCCAGTGGCCAGAGAAGTAGACTAAGAACAATTTTAGAGAGAGAATCTCCCAGGGTGAGAACCAGCACTCTGGAAGAAACAGATGACTACATTTGCAAGGTGATAAGAATGTGTAACTGTGAAACAGAAATGGCACATTCGTTTTGCTTTTGGATTTTAAATTGATTTCAACATAGCTGTAACAATGGATGGGGGATCATACAAAATGCCTTAAAAAACATGGGTTTGGGTAATAATGATTTCTCTCCACTGCATTTTTTTCCCATTCTGCTTCTACCTCATGTGTTGGGTTCCTTCAGTTCCTTGTCTCGTGTATCTTCATAATCACCTCTATGCACTTAGGCCTTTGGATTTTGCAGTTTATCTTAAATCTATTTTAGGATGTAGTTTCCAACAGCTCCTGGAGTATAGGTAGGCTCAAAAATGCCCATTGCTAAGTTGACTCAACCCTGAGAAGCACTGGCTGCAGAATAGTGACCAGAATTCCTGTGACTTGACATTTTCTGGTCTTGCATCACCCATATTAGCAGAAATATGAGATTAGAGAGTAGAGATTAGAAGGTAGCCTAAACAGTCGGCCCTCCCCCATCATATCTTGAAATCCAATTGCCATGGTGATGATGCAGGGAGATGTGACCTATAAGGAGGTAATTAACTCTCATGAATATTCTTTTTTGGTGTGGATTTCTTTTGCTTTCTTTTCTTTTTTTTTTTTTTTTTTTTTTACATC